CTGACTGTGAAAGCTCTGAGAGACATTGGATCTAGATCTGTAATGAAATAATCTACCGTACTACTGCCAAGAGCTGAGCTGTAAGTGTAGCGACCCAGAGAGTCCCCTCGTAGCCTGCCGTTGACAATGTACAGACCTAGTGTACGGCAGAGCTGTAAAAGCTGCATACCGCTTGTATTAATAAGCTTGTCAAAGCTCTTTCTAGTAGGACATTCAGGGAGGGGGAAGCAGGTGCTTCCAGGTAAGTGTTTGTTTCCCTGGGTGTTCATAGTGTCAGCCACAGAGTAATGCATTTCCCATGGTTTTATAATGGTTAATTTCCTCCTCAAGAATAGAGAAAATATCTGGGTTGTAGTAGGGGGATTCTGATGGAGGTATATAGATGGCACACATGTAGACATGTTGCTCAGCACAAATAATCTTTTTGTTAATTTTCAACCATATATAAGATTCTTCTTTTTTAATAACTGTGATGGACTGGCTCAGTTCTGATTTACACGAAATATAACCATGCCTCCTGAATCTCTGCCTTGGGTTATTGTGGGATGTTTTGTTGATGGTACAATAATCTCAGTGTAGCCGTGAGGACAACCAGTGGAAACATCTTCTCTGCACCATGTCTCCTGTAAAACTATGATGTCAGAGTCTTTTAACTCCCCATTAAAATCTGAATTTCTACTCTTTAAACCAAAAGCTGATGATCTCAGACCTAAAATCACAATCACATTGCAGTAGCTACAGTACAGTGACCTTCGACCAATCACAGCGCAGTAGCTACAGTACAGTGACCTTCGACCAATCACAGCGCAGTAGCTACAGTACAGTGACCTTCGACCAATCACATTGCAGTAGCTACAGTACAGTGACCTTCGACCAATCACAGCGCAGTAGCCACTGTACAGTGAGGCTAGTTCGTAGTATGGTGGGCGTTAGCATAAACATGAACGAGCTGGATTATTTACTTTCTAATCAATTTTCTTTAAAGTCTTTGGAGGAAAAAATGGAAATACAGAGATTGGGAACAAACGATGTTCAAATAACACAAAAGGACAAACGACAAAATCTTAGTTTTGTGTTACATGGTTTCAGCTAACGGACTGGCTAACAGCAAGTGTAGCTAGGAATTCACTTTTCTAGTTCCATGTTTGCTGTTTGGAGGAGACACGGCTTGGACCCAACAAGGAATTGTGGATTTAAAATATTTATCCGACAAAATTAGGAAACATGAATGCCGCACGAGCCACATTGGAAATGCTGTAAAGCTGTCATTGCAGGGTAAAGTGAACATCGCCTGTCAGCTAAATGAGGGTCACCGCACCGCTGTACAGAGACACAACGAGCTGGTAAAGAAAAACAGGCATTCACTATCACAGATTGTTGACTGTATTACATTTTGTGGGGACACAAGCTCGCCCTGCGGGGGTCCGATTAATCTCCCACTTCACTCCAGCAGCGACCAGTTCTCTTTTTTAGACAGTCAATCAGCCGATCATCTGTCAAACACACAGGTTGCAAAGTACACGTCTAAGACCACAGATTCTCTCAGAACGAGACAGGGCCTGGAGAATTTTTCGTGCTCCATATCTGAACTGCTGACCACAGATGACAATCAGCCACATCCAGATGCGGACACAGCTGCAGCCGCTGTAACGCTGCGCAGGATGAGGCGCTCTGATGATGTGTCAGTCACAGTGCTGTGGCTTAATGGTCGAGAAGTCAAAGGCTCGCTTTGAGAAAACCATGCACTTGTTGTCTTTGTATGTGCACATTACCCAATGATCTGCAGGGAGAAACTGAAAGGTGAGCTGATGGTGAGGTACAGCAGGGTGGAGTTTGACATGGTGATTAACCTGTTTGCGTCACAGAAAGGCCGTCAATGTGAGCGGGGTTTTAAATAAGGTCTGCCCAAGCTCTGAAACAACTCTCATTTTTGCTTTGGTTTTGTAGATTTATTTCTGGTACATGGTGTTGCAAATTGTTGCTGGTACTTCTCTATAATGTTTTTGTAGAACAATTGGCGTGATGTGTACAGAGGAGAGAGAGAGAGAGAGATTTTTGGCATCAGGTCATTCTTTTGGGTTTGTCTCCCCAGTGTTGCCGTAGAGCCCTTGCTATAACAAAGTATACAATGTTGTTGCTGTAACTTGATGTGATGCTGCTGTTGCTGCTGTGTGACGTATTGATGAGTGTAATGCATTTGTTAGCCCACCCACCCAAAATCTCCACCAGCCGTCACTGTATGGATGTGTGATGTGATATGTGGAGCAGATGGTTAAACAGACAGAAGATGTATGTATCCATCAGATGTGTGTGCGTGTGTTCATCTTAATTTGTACCCTGAATGTTGTTTTGTTGAATTATTACATCCTTGTTTTCTATTTTACATCTTTATGTCATCTTCACTGCTTCCCATATTTTAAATTTGTCTCATATTTCTCACTCATATTTCTCATGTCTTTGCTGTTCAGAATCAAGGAAACATCTGTTGCAATACCAACATTTGCTGTCAGCTGACTTTGCCATATTTTCTGCAATTGCCAACAGGGCCTGACCAGACTGACAAACCCTCAATCGCTGGATCTCAGGAGCTGCATTTATAAAGCTACATAGAACAGAGGTGCTCCTAAATTCTAAGAAAATTCTTAGAATTATGATGTTTTCTAAGTTATTTGCTAAGCATCTTAGCTGAAACTGTTAGGAATTGGGAGAATGACTTTTAAGAGGCTTAAGAGTTTCTTAAGCAGAGGAGAACATTTTGGAAATACAAAAAGGCAGGAGAAATGTTCTCTAAGCGCTGAATTATATTAAGTAAATGAAATGTTACATCATGCAGGGATCATGTCTGTGGTTGATCTCCTTAGAGATGTGTTCACGTCTCCCACACAACACACATAATGCCAGAAATGAAAGTGATCACAACACTGAGATATTTGGTAACTGAAATATCAGCAGTGCAGCACTGAGGATTTGGGTCTCTCGCAACCTTCCATCAACATAAGCATGAAATCTGAACAAAGCTGGTCTACTACTGTGTACTGTATAGTAGAACTGATAGCAGTGGTAGTAGAAGGACAGCATTATCTTCATGCAAGCACACTTTAACGACTGTGATCACTGTATTCAGCAGCATTTGTGTTTGTGTGTTTGTGGCAACGTGTAGTGAAGAGCTGTTGGAGGAAGCTGATCTGTGCAACAGTAAACCTCTTCATGAGTGTGTGGAAGCTCTCTGGGTTTCTCTTTGTCTACACCGGATCTGGATCTGAGCTGCTTTCCGAGCTCTGCTGGAGGAAACATGTTGCTTCAGAGCACTCGCTGCCTGTTCCTGTCAGCAATGGCTGGCAGAGGAGAGCATACACAACTAATACTGGAGATGTACTGCTGTAGGTTCATGTTTCTGGACTCACAGCTGTGTAACTGATTACTGATTATCAATCAGAATTTAGGATGTTTTGCTTTCAGCTATGAAAAATAAAATTTCTTATGTCATTCATTCGTTTCTAAGTTGTTACTTCAGATATGTTTGACCCCAGTTTCTGATATAATATCCGATATCTCAAATAAACATGCAGCCCACACAGTCCACAGTAAGCAAATATTACTTTTAAAATATTGATTAAGAGGGCGCCTGGGTAGCTCAGTGGGTAGAGCTGGCAACCCATGTACCAGCTGAGTCTTTGCTGCAGCGGCCCAGGGTTCGAATCTGACCTGCAGCCCTTTGCTGCGTGTTATCCCCCTTCTCTCTGCCCCCCTTTCCTGTCTGCCTTCAGCTGTCACTATAATAAAAGCCCAAAAAATATACTTTAATAAAAAAAAAAAATTATTTGGAGAAGTACTATGTGCCAGAGAAGTAGACTTAAAAGTAGGTGCAATGATCAGAAACTAACAAATGTACTGAGTTATATAACGAGGATAATTGAATAAGGGTGTGTAGTTTTAGCGACTTTTGCAACTGGTTCCAGACCCTGGGAGCGGCAGACTGAAAGTAGTGACAGCCAAAGGAGGAACAGATATTAGTGTCCAACTAGAATGCAAATCGTGGTTAGTGTTGGACTAGCATGGCTTGACTTGCTCTTCTGTGGTTTTCCATTATGGATAGTGCCTGCCACCTTTTTTGGGTACTGCCTTGGTCAAGGTTTCAAGCGAGCTGAGCTGATACTAAAGGGTGACATAAAACACTGTAGACCAACGATTGGTTGCCTGACACCGGACATACTCCACAAACCCAATAGCAAAGGCATCAGAGGTGGAGCTGGGGGCCAGCTTCTGGGGCTCCAGCCCCAAGATCTTTTCTCAAAAGCACAGAATCTTTAAGGCTTTTTAAATAACTTCCATCTAATAGGTCCACCCTAACATTGTCATGGGGATCGTTGTCTTGTGTGTGTTGTGTTTCATTCAGTTGTGTCTCTTTAGTGTGCAAGTTAGCTAGTTAACTACCTTATGAACTATGTATATATGGTTTTTCCTTAGGAGTCATACTCAACTATTTTTACCTCTTTTTAGAAGGCAGGAATGAAAAAAAAGTCATCTTCAACATGTGTTGTGTTCTAGAACAATCAATCATTCAAATCCATTTCCAACATATTAAATACATTGAAGTTACTGTATCTGGTACGGGTCAAATATGACGCATCAAGAAAGCAAACACAAAAACGCACTGACTTTATGCACACTCCACTACAGCTCTCTGCCACACAAATCTCCCTCTGCATCCTCTCACGAAAACCAAACATTCAGAGCAAAATGATAATGACTGACAACATTAAAGATCCTCACATTCACACTTACAACAGTTCCGGGGAGGAACTTTAACAAATGTAAAATCAGATATATATTTAGACTATCTGCTATCAATCTTCATCAACTAACTTCAATAATTTCTACATCGAAGCCATCAACCTGTCTGTTTGACCAGTAAGGCCAATCAGTTGTGTGACTTTCTACATAGCAACAGCTTATTTGAGGATTTTCAGTCAGGATTTAGAGTTCATTAATTCAATTCAATTCAATTCAATTTTATTTGTATAGCGCCAATTCATAACAGAAGTTATCTCAGGACACTTTTCAAATAGAGCAGGTCTAGACCGAACTCTTTAACATTAATTACAGAGACCCAACAGTACCACCATGAGCAAGCACTTGGCGACAAGGGCAAGGAAAAACTGCCTGTTAAAAGGCAGAAACCTAGGACAGATCCTCCGGCTCTAGGTGGGTGGTCGTCTGTCTCGACCAGTTGGGGTGACAGCACAGAGACAGCACTGGTTAAAGTTAATGGACTCTGACAATGGACTTGTCTCTGTACTTGTATTATTATATCTTAGTGCCGCATTTGACACCATTAACCATAATATTCTTTTACAGAGACTTGAGCATCAAATTGGCATTAAAGAAACCGCACTAAGCTGGTTTAAGTCATATTTATCAGATCGTTCGCAGTTTGTACATTGTTAATGATGAATCCTCCATAAACACTAAAGTTAGTCATGGAGTTCCACAAGGTTCTGTACTTGGACCAATTCTATTCACTTTATATATGCTTCCCTTAGGCAATATCATTAGGAATCACTCCATTAACTTTCACTGTTACGCAGATGAAACCCAGTTATATCTATCGATCAAGCCCAATGAAATTAATCAGTTAGCAAAGTTACAAACATGTCTTAAGGACATGAAATCCTGGATGAGCTGCAATTTTCTGATGCTAAACTCAGAAAAAAATTAAATTCTTGTACTTAGCCCCAAACACCTCAGAGACTCACTGTCTTAAGATATAGTTACTCTAGATGGTATTACCTTTGCCTCCAGCACCACTGTCAGGAATATTGGACTTATCTTTGATCAGGATATGTCCTTTAACTCCCACATAAAGCAAACCTCTGGGACTGCCTTTTTCCATTTACGTAATATTACAAAAATTTGACACATCCCGTGCATTTGTTACTTACTCAGGCTGGATTACTGCAATTCCTTATTATCAGGTTGCCCCAATAAGTCCATTAAGACGCTCCAATTAATTCAGAATGCTGCAACACGAGTACTGACCATGGTCCTGCTTGACTCCCATTGACTCCCATTGCTAATATTACTGATATTATTGTTACTATTATTATTACTACAGTTACTATTATTACTATAATCACTGCTCATTGTCCCCCATTGTTGTTATTGTCGTTGTCGTCATCGTCATCTTCTTCATGTTCATCATCTTTATCACCATCAGTCACTACTATTAGTGTAGTTTTGTTGCTGCGCACCTTTGTCTCTGTCTCTGTCCTTCTGTCGTTACCTCTGTTCCCTCTCTCTCTCTCTCTCTCGGCAGATGGACAGACACCTAGAGCCAGTGTCCAAATGAGCGCATGGTGCAGCCCGTAATATACAAAAGGTTCAACAAATCTGAATCATGAGTGAATACAGGGGAATGGAGTTTATAGTTTTGGGAAATGTCGGTCTTTTGGTAGATTGCTAGAAAAAACATGACGCAATTTGTATATTACGGGCTCATTTGGAAAGCACTGGCATTCAGTATCATTAACTTAATTCATCACAGCTAGGTGGAAACACTCACAACTGTACACAATCAGAAACTTAGGATAGATAGATAAATGGTCCATGGATTAGTTCACCTGTTTTGTAAAAATTTTGCCATAATTTTAGATTCAGCAACATCTTTCTGCCTGCTAATCCACCTTTCCTAAACCCACAGAGGAGGGTTTTTCTGCATGGTGGTGGTAGGTCTATGACCGAGACCCCCACATCTGTGCTCACCTCCTCCAGGCCATGGAGGAGGCTTGTTTAGATAAAGATATTACGGTTGAGGCTTGCCAGGCTAGGATGAAGTATGCGTATGAGGTTTTTTTTTTACCCCTGCTGCCTGGCTAGGGCTAATATTGCCTCTGATGTTAATGAGAATCTCTGGCCTAACCCAGACCAGAGAGGGGTTTATAACAGTAATTTACTCTGTCACTCAATTTCAGTTTACTGTATTTTACTGTATTTTAGCGCCATTATTTATTGCAGGGACAGGTTTTTGCATGTGTAATGGATATTTTGTAGTCTATGTGTATTTGTGTATTTTGACTGTGTAATATCTCAAGGCAAAGTTGGTTTAGATGTAAAATTAGATATTTTGGTTTTGGCATGGAAGCTTGAAGTTTGTGAGGATGGGTGTGTAATTATGCATTTGTGTTTAGTTTTGCAAAATGGAGCATTATTTAAAGAAATGTGTCTTGGCAATAAAAAAAACATCCAAATCTCAGTAAAGACAACAACATCATTAAATATGTCACATAAGGAGGAGGTTGGGATAGTGGAGGGGGCTGCAGGGAGACCTGTCTCTCTCTTGAAGGAGAGGGTTAAGCGATAGAGTTGCGATCTGCAACTACAGTGCCACAAATTCAATTCAATTCAATTTTGTTTGTATAGTGCCAATTCATAACAGAAGTTATCTCAGGACACTTTCCAAATAGAGCAGGTGTAGACCGAACTCCTTATAACATTATTTAC